GAGGGCGGCCCGAGGCGCCGGAAAACGCCGCGACCTCGAGGTGTTCGGACCAGCGAGACTCTTAAAGGGGCCGCGTCGGCCTGAGGGAATGGGGCCGGGTAGGGGCTTGAGTGGGCGCCATGTCCGTCCCTTCCACGCTCTAAGGCTCGGAAGGGCTTAGGACTCTAACGAAGGGAGTAAGACTAATGGAGACCACTCGTGATTGGCAGTCATGGTTCCTTGTCCTTTAAGATGAGGACCCGAGGGGCGCGGCACCGGCGCTTTGGTTTGTGATTGGCCACCGTTGGGGCGGACTCCACGCCGCTCCGCCTCCTCGCGGGTCTCCAGCGAGAAAGCGCCGTGAGTCATACTAGTCCATAGTCCAAAGTGCTTCCATCACATTTACCCCAGAAGAGTCTAGAGAAGAGCTCCTAGTGGCCGGACAAGGACAAGGCAGCGGAGTCCGTCCTAACAACGGCACCACAAACCAAAAGTTCTAAGGCCACGGTTTTCTTAACACCCAGAGAACAGGATGCAGGCGGCCCGTCCTAACTGCTGTTTGCAATAGAAACGGGCACAATTCCAGAAAGCAGCTTGGCAGTATGTACGAAAAGCCTTCAAAAGGTGTTCGCCTTTACACCCACTTAGAGGACTGAGCTGGGAAAAGAAATCGGGAACGCAAGGATTTCAACAGAAACTTCCTCGCAGTGTTATAATAAATGTTCAGAAATGGAGACTGGATTTCCAACGTTGTTAGCGTATTAGAAAGAATAGTATGTAGCCTATAAAAATGTAAGTCATACAGCAACTTGCTCAACACCTACCATGTGGGAGCTGACAATACACAAAACTATGTATCAAGACAATTATGCATTTCAGGGGATTTGGGGCATAAAATGAGATACTGGCAAAGGCCCTTGAGGGGCAAGGGAAGGAAAGCAAGGATTGTATGCATTGGACTCTAAAATGGACAGGGACTAGGTATGTTTCAGGTTCATAAATTGCCCAGCTGACAAGTATTTGAGGTCAAAACCCTACCACGCACTTAAAAATTTACCATGTTAATAAAAGTATTCATTTGCTTAGAAAAAGAAAGACGATTATGTGATAAAAATTACATCTGCGAAGAAAAGACTAACGTATTGTCAGGATTTCCTCCAGATTGTGGGATATGAATGACTTGTTTTATTTACTGGTGTTTGAGTTTTCGTTTTTCAATCCAAAAAAACAAACAAACTTGCTCTGAAACCATGATGTAATTACCTTCTTCCCCATTCCACCCTCCCTCCTCCTCCCAGCTGCAAACTGCATGTGTGAATGAGGAGCTAAACAGGCTCCACCACCAAGACTCTGGGCCTTTCCTCAGACAACTTTAAGAGCCTCCTGACTCCACTCCTGCTCAAACTTTTCTTTCTTGCTCTGAGGTCTCAAAGGTTTCAGCCCATTACAGCACCAATGCCCTTTGCAAAGAACACATGATTTATTAAAGACAACTTGTCATCAACAGCATTGATTCAAGAAACAAAACTGATTTCCTTAAAAAACAAAAAACACAAAAAACAAACAAAAAGCAGACTAATGTTCTGACCCTCTGGAGTGAGCGAGCCCTCCTGAATTCATTCTAATACAGCCCCATCTGTAACGTGTCCCCGTTCCCGGGGCAGCTGCACAAGCAGGAAGCCGGGCGCTCGGGCTGTCTGGGAACCTCCCTTGAGAATTTAGAGAAAGGGAATCACCAGGGGTAGGTCCTTTCCTCAGCCAAACCTGGACATGGTCCCTGTGCTCTTGACCTTCATCCAAAAGTCAAGGAGAGGGCACTGGCCTGCCACTGAGGCAAATCCGATGCAGTGATTCAAGTAGTGTGGCCCCAGAAGGGAAGGCAAGGGGACAGGCGAGAGGGAACGCATCAGGTGCCCTGGGCAGTGTCTGCTGGGTCCCAGGCTGTGACCCACATCTCAGGCTGAGAAGGAGTCAAAGTTGGAACTGAACAAGCCGACAAGTTCTGGGAAGGTGGGCCAGGCTGGTGGGAAGCAGTGTCTCTGTCCAGTGCAAGGTCTTGGAGTCTTCCTTCCAGTTCCAGGACAGAGCTCAGAGCACCCCCAGCAGGAAGGTTCCAGAGGCAGGGGGAGAGGACGCCGAGTCTGACCTCAGAAAGCCCAAAGAACATGCTTCTAACTCCTTTTCTGCCTTCCCAGCTCCACCCACACCCCCAAACCAAGCACTTGCCAATCGGCAATAAATATCCAAGAGTTTGAATAAATAGTAAAAATCTCCCAAAAACTGTGTGTTATGAGAGGAGGTGGCAAACAGGCAAGTGCACAAAGTCCCAGCAGCATCCAAAGCAGCAGGAGCTCCTGGGGGAAGCTGATCCTGGCCCACAGCCTGGCTTACGCGGCAGTAGAGGTCCTGGCTGCCAGCCTCAGGATGGCTATGGGGGCACCAGGGTACCTGCCCACCAGTCCGAGCAGAGGAGGAAGACCCTTGCCCCATTACCCAGTTGTCCAGACCCAAACCACCTGCCTCCTTACAAAAGGAGGGAAGGGACTTGATCAGAATAAGCCCTTTCTTCCCACTGCCCAGCAGTGGGAGTGGCCAACGGCTCCTGCTCTAAGTGCATCCACCCCAAATCCTGGGACCAGCCCAAGTGGGTGACCAGCACCCACTTTTGCTTGCTCGGCTCCCCCGGCCCTGACAGGATCCAGGGCCTCTGAGCTCAGCCGGCCCAGGGAGGCTCCCTTTGGTCCCGCTGGCCAATCATGGGACTCACTCTCCCTGGATGGGCCCTGAAAGCCGCGGGAATGACTGCTCTTCTGAAGCACTTGGATCCCAAACCCTGGCGCAGCACCGCCTTAATGTCCTTCTCCTTTGGGGAAATCTCTGGAAGACTCAGCTCTCCCTCCTCCATCCCTGGGCAGAAAGGAGGGTAAGAGGCTCAAAGCCTCACGGGCCATCACTTCTCAGCAGCTTTTGGTTTCCAAGATTTGGGGGAGTTGGGCAG